CTTCTACAAATGAAATAAATTATTTATTAATCTCCAAGAGCTGTTAAAATTTAGACTACATGGCTGCTTAAATTTGAAAAAAAAACATGTTTTACATTTAAGGTCAATTTGCTCAACCAAGCTTTTCTGTGACATGTCCCATTGTATTTAAGAACAATTCCAGAAGAATTTATATTTAAAGTAAATCTTACAAAACTATTTTCCCGCAGAACCGCGCACTTTAAATAAAATTGAAATGTACAGATCGGCTTACAATTGCTTAAAACAATTTGTAATAAAACAAAAGAATTCAGAATTTTAAATATGCGAAATATTATATTTTTTAGTATAACATTTTCGGATTCAACATGAAAATATCAACGGGAACCGATTTGTTAAGTTAACCCTTTATCATTTCTATATTAATCATATTAGTATTCGCAGAACAGCATTATACATATTTTTTCGGAACGTCAAAAAAAATTTAGAATTTATACTTTCTCTTAGACGAGTTCTTAAAAATATTTGACTCCATGAAAAAATGACTCAATTTTTGATAATCTATTCGTAAATAGCAAATAAAATAAAGTCAAATTTTCCGAAATTCCACTGTAATTTTAATATTTACGTCAACATTTCTGCAATAATATTTTAAACATAAATATCTATGTATAATATCTTTCATTTGTTTATATGTTGAAATTTATTTTTATGTATTAATACATACATATATACATAAATGTTATATTGAAAGAAAAATTTCAAAAGTAAAAGTGAAAAGAAATTATAAGAAAAAAAATTAGAAACGCAAGCGAATTGGGTTTTTTCTTTAATATACCAATACGATGTTGAAGAATTAATGTCTCTTTAAAAACAAGTACTTAAGAATTATTTTTATTATGTACCTATTTTAATTTAGATCATTATAATAATTGCTTTTTCTGCATTCTTAAATATTATGCCATTTTAATTTCCTTTTATATAATAAATTTTTAAATACATGTCAATTATATCACATTTGCAGACTATTATTCTTACGGTTAATTAAAATAATAATTATAAAGCGTTGAGAAATTATGTTATAGAATTTTCGAGTAAATCTATCTAGATTTATGTAAAATTAATTAATATATTAAAAAATATCAATCATAAACAATTAAAATAAGTAATCAGAAAATTTTAAAAATTTCTTATTTTATTTGTAACTTAAATATTTAAAGTAAATACTCAAATCCAATGAAAATCAAAACAATAACACTATTAAATCATTGAACGCATTCTCATAAGTAAAATTTAGTTTCCCAAATATGAAATTTATACAAAAAAAATTGAGAATATATATCTTTAACCCGGTATACTCTCATTAGAGTCTGATAGCCCCCAACAGAATTTAATTTGACTTCTCTTTTAAAGTTAATGTAAACAGTCCGACAAGTATATGTTAATTGTCTTTTTACCGACCGTATTGTGTAAACAATAGGTAGGTTATGTGATGGCAACAAATTTTGCATATCGAGTTTTCGGTGGGAACGTACTTCTCCATAGTAGGGAAGTGTAAATAAACTATTTTTAGCAACCTGTCGGTCTGTCGGTCTGTGTGTGCACGCGTGTATCTCAAGTTCGGCTGAACCGATTTTGATGAAATTTTATATATAAGTTTGTTTCTACCATGGCACGGATCGATCAACTTTTGGTATATATCAGGCCTCGGGAACTGCACTTTTTAGCGGGCCTGTTTTACATTTTTGAACATTTTGAAGAAAATATTCAACCAATTTACTTGAAATTTTATATATAAGCTCAGCTCGACCGTCCGCAAAAATTCGTATGTTTTGGAAGAAATCAGGCATCGGCAACTGGACGTTTACTACGGGCCAAATATACATTTTTGTGTATATAAAGAGAAATAATCAACCGATTTCATTGAAATTTAATATATGAACTCCTCGTATTAAAACAATGAACATATAAATTTTTTGGAAAGATCAGGGCTCGAAAACGGACTTGCGGGCCGATTTTACATTTTTCACCATTTTGAAGAAAGTATTCAACCGATTTACTTGAAATTTCATATATAAGCTTTGCTCGATCATACGCAAAAATTCCTAACTTTTGGAAGAAATCAGGCATTAGCAACTGGGCGTTTACTACGGGCAAAATATACATTTTTGTGTATATAAAGAGAAATAATCAACCGATTTCATTGAAATTTAATATATGAATTCCCCGTATTAAAACAATGAACATGTAAATTTTTTTGGAAAGATCAGGCATCGGCAACTAGACGTTTACTACGGGCCAAACATACACTTTTGTGTATATAAAGAGAAATAATCAACCGATTTCATTGAAATTTAATATATGAACTCCTCGTATTAAAACAATAAACATATAAATTTTTTGGAAAGATCAGGGCTCGAGAACTGATTTGCGGGCCGATTTTACATTTTGCACCATATCCACAGAACAAATTGTTGGAATTTCTTGAAATTTGATATTTGAGTTCTGGTTGTTACCGAAACTAACTGGCGAGCATTTCAGGGAATTCGGATAGCACAAAGCGAAACTTTACTAAGAGCCAAATTTACATTTTTCTAAGTATGTTAACTATAAGCTTACTAATGTCCTAAAGATTGGAAAGAAGTATTTAACAGACATTTTTATAATATTCTGTAACACTTTCATTTAACTAGACAATACACAATGGGGTCGGTTATGTGCTGACCACATCAGATTTTTTATTATTAGTCTACGATAAGAAATTAAATGGTAAGTATCTTTTCCCAAAAATACCCAAAAAATAGCCTAAAAGTTGTTTTCCCGTTTGAGAGATTTTAGTATGAGTAATGTATAGGAGATTTGGATTCTAGTTTTTTTTTTATTGAAAACTTATAACCCAAGTGTCTACTAGATCCCATTAAAAATTATTTCACAAATATATGTGTGAGTGTAGACGGTTAAGAAAAGAGAATCATACGGAAAAAAATACGAATTGAATTAAAAATTACGATTTTACAATCATTTATATTCACTCCATACAATTACAGTTACCCCATACAGTCGTATATTAACTGAAACTAGAATAAAGTGATTTTTTAGAAAAATTACAATATTTACACCGAAGTTCTGAAATGGACTTACATTTAGTTATAATTAATCATTGTTAAAGTTGTATAAAATTTTCTAATAATAATGTTCTAATGACAAATAGCTCATTGTTTCCAATAATTCGTAGTATTATCACCAGAGAATAAGATTTCATTCAAAATTATATTAACAGTTTTTGTCCTAAACTAAAGAAATTTTAAATGCCGCATATTTTATTTAATTATTTTGAAATGTAAGCGTGTAAATTTAATGTCTATTCTATTATAAAATTTAATTTCTTTTCAAATTAATTTCTAAATAAAGAAGAAGAAAAATTCCACAAACTTCATTAACCTCAGCCAAAGTCAAAAATATTTTTGTAAATTTATTTTTATTATTCTAGTTCTCCATTTCCTATACAGATGCCTCCAACAAATTTTGTTATTGGCCCATATGTAATAAAATATGTAAAATTGAAAACAGAACAGATTTTTTCATATTATGTGTAAGGAAATTCCTAAAAAAAGATTTAAAAATCTCACAAGCTATCAACACAATAGCTTTACAATTTGAATTGCACGTGTTTGATTTGAGTGTTTATTTTTTTTCTGTATTGTTGTAAAATCATTGAATATTCTAAACTATTTCCAAATTCTATATACAACAGCAAAGTACAATTTTAACAACATTCTATGCATTTGTTTTTTTTCAATCAGTCTTCCTTTACTCCTCCTAATTGGCGATGCTTGAAACAATGTAAACTAAACAGAAAATCTTAAAAATCAATTATACTATTAATTACTAAGATTTTTTATTTTACAAATTTAGAACTTTATTTTTGGAACGGAACTTAATTATAAAATATTTTATATATTTGCTTGTATTTACATGCATATACACATTATTTGTATGTATTTTATTTGTAAGTTTTTTTCATTAATCACACTAATAGTTACATAGGAAAATTTTAATTCTTAATATTTAGTTCCGATTTTCCGAATAAAATAAATAAGTAAATAAATTAGTACGAGTAGTACGAAAACTAAAATCAAAATTATTGTTTGCCAAATAAAATTTAATTAAAATTAAAATTAAATTATTAGGGATTAAAGTATTTAAGAATTTATATATTACCCCCAAAAAGTGAGAAATTTTATTTGATTTGATGACATTTATGTCAGCTTTTGAATAACATAAACAATTCAACATTTATAAAGTCCATAGATATTAGTCAAGGTAGTGAAGAATATAAAATAGGTGACATCAAATAGTTTCCCATTTCTCTTCAAATTTGTAAATATTTTAAACTCATTCGGAAACATAATTTAGCCGGACAACTATGTATTTCTAAAAAGATTATACTTTTTCTGGCCTTAAATTTTCTTGATTTTGTCGTTAAGGCCGAAATAAATAAGTGCTATATTTTTGATAAAATCCAATATATTGAGAATATTCAAAAATAGTACACATATTACACGCAACCTGTTTGATGTCACTAACATTAATACGAACATATATATACGAATCGAATATTATAATTATTAATTTACACACAAGTATAAAAAAAATGTACAAATTATAATATTTGACAGATTTAAAATTAATGGCATTAATGTCAAAATACTGATTTTTTTTTAATTATATTTTTTGTGTTTCTGTTATACATATATTATTTAAAGAATAGTATAGTATAGGTAAATATCTATAATTATTGACACACAACATTTAAATATAAAAATATTTTGGAATGTTTATTTTTTTTTTCGATTTTAATATCTATATGCTTTTGGATTATGGCACTAGTGAGATTTCTATAATATTCTATATGTGTTATATTTCTATATAATTTATATATTATTATTTATTTTAGGATTAATTTAAATATAATAGGTACATATAATATTTGATTTTGAATTTTTTTTGTTTTTACTTACATTGCCACCAGCTGGGGGAGCTGATCCAGTAACTAAAGCTGGGGTTGCTCCATTTGTTTGCAAATTATAACCATGAGCATTTAAAGCATTTGCAATATGACCAGCAGTCAATTTTGGTGTTCTTTAAAATATTTAAAAGAGAAAAAGAAAATGAAATTAAAATTAGAATTAAAATTTTTTCGAATTATATTTAAAATAATAATTTTCAATAATTTTATAATAATAAATTTTTTCCATATTAATTGTTTGTTTGAACCCGAATGTGTTTGGGAGCAATTGGGTTTTTAACGCTTTGTAATAAAATAATGATCTGAGATATATAAAGAGAGTCGAATTCTGAGTCAATTTAGCTATATCTATCAATCAGCCACTAAACCTGATATAAATGGTTTATTATAAAAGTTTGCAGTGTTCCACCAGGAACGAGAGTTTGGTTAGCAAATTAAGTGAATAAAAATTATTTTTATTATTAAAATAAATTTCTTGATGTTATATCGAAAAAAGCCCACAAAACCTGAATTATGTATGAAATTTTTTTTTTCATTTATTTCATTTGTTAACTTTCATTAAGGCAATTACACGAACCTTCCAAAATATTCCATTTAGCTTAACTATTTTAACAATTATTTAAAATTAGCTTTTGGAATTGTATGGCACATACCCGAAACCCTTATACGAATTGAGTTATTAGCACTACCAACTATCCTTGGTAGGAAAGAAACAATTAGGACCAACGGACGGACATGTCTAATTCAACGCAGAATTTTATGCTGAGCAAGAATATACATATTTAGGCCGCAGACGATGCCTTCAAGTGGCTACAAACTCCATACCAAAGTCGATCTACTCTTGTCGAAGGTGCACGAAGGTATTAAAATAATTTATTGTTGCCATTTTTATGTTAATTCTTTTATTTTTTTTTTAAAAAAATCTTCATACCCTTTTGGAATAAAATTGTTTTAAAAGAAAATGTTTCTTGGCTTTGTGAAAATTAAATAAAGAAATCATAACAATAAATTTCTTTTGTTCCAATTCTAATATAAAAACTCACTAACCCAAAAAAAAAAAACAGAAACCCCTTAAAAATATGAAAAAGAAAAATATTAAATTTTAATACAATAAAAAATTCTTGAAAAACAAGGGAAGGCCTTTGCTTCAATTAAGTTTCCGGAACATAAAAGCAAAAAAACAAGAGAATTAAAAACAACAAAAAAACATAAATAAGAGCAAAAACTCCTTGTTTCCTTAGAATATGCATTGAAAAATCTTTTCAAAAGGACATTAAATAGGTAATTAAAAAGAAAAATAAGAAAACGAAAAAAATCACAGATTTCTTTTAATTAAAAACAACGAAAACAAAAAAATTAAAAAATAACGTTATATTTTTGGTTGAGTTTTTTTTTTGTTTTTTGCCCAAACTCCTTTCTTCCTCATTAACTTTCCCGGAGCAATAACTTCTTTTCTTCTTTTTACTTCTATAAAATTCATTTCCTTTGATTTTTTCCCTCAATTCAATCATTTATTTTTAATTTTACAATATTGTCTAAAGAAAATTAATTGTGGAATGACTGGTAAAGCCGGAAGATTAATTTTTCGAGGATATTTTTCGACGAAATGTATGACACACGTTTTCAAATGGTCCCTTAAACTTAATATTAATTCACTATTTTGTTAGATACATGCTGTTTTGTAGGCATGCAGTTTGTTATAAAATTTAAAACGAGAAAAGTAATTGCAAAAAAGGGTAATGGGGCCTAAATCACGAATTTATAAATTTAATACCTATTGGATATAATGACTAAAGCGTATGATATGGAGTAAAAAATCAACATAATACTGAGACTATAAGGCAAAGAGACAATACTAATGGCAATTGTAAAAATTTGTGATTACAATTTTGTTAAAATTTTTATAAGTCGAATGTTTCCTAAATGTGCCGAAATATGCATGACAAATTTAAGGAGGATTTGTAAGTGAGAATTTATTAATTTCAAAATTTTTAAGTTTTTCATAGCTTTAATTGATTTCCTTTTGAGTACATTCGACATTCGTTCACAATTATGTTCCAATCGGGAAAATTACGTCACATTTACTACTATGAACTTGTTTCATTTACCATACACATTTAAAATATTTTTTCTAAATATTGAAAAATAACAAAATATTTACGAAAAAAGAAAAAATATTTAAAAATTTCCTTAAAAATAAATTACAAAGGCAAAAAGGAAGAAGAAAAAATTTTTTGTTTTTTTTTTTTAATTTTATTTTCTTTATTTACTTACGGTTTTAATGGAATTGGAACATAACCCTCAGTTCCGGGTGGTGGATTTTTCATAGCTGCTGCTTTAGCATGAATGTCACAATATAATTTATTGTTGAAATTATAATATCCTTGATTTTTCAATGATGTACCACAGGTGGCGCATTTAAAGCATTCAACATGAAGATTTTTATCCTTAATGCGGCAGAATACACCACTATTTGAGTTACAAAATATTTGAATTGGAGTATTGTTGATCGTTTTTGTCCATCATTAAAATATCAGAAAATGAATTTATGTAACGGTTATTCATTGGTTTTTTCCAAAGTTGATCATTAAAGTTTTGTTATTTTTAATTTTTTTATTTTGGTTGTTCCAGTTTTTTTAATTATTGTCGTCCACCAATTTAAAATTATTGATTATGTTTCAATTATTTTTTCCCCGAATTTATGGCAAATTTCATTTTCATGGTAAGGATTTTTTTTAAATATTTTTTTTGCGTTTATTGCCACCATCATCATAATTGGAAACAATCACAATGTTATTAGAATTTATCAGTTTTTGTTTTAAAATTTTTTGGTTGTTGTTTTAACAGGGTACGGCATTGATTTTAATGGAAATTCGAAAAAAAATAAAATTAAAATAATTAATTATCATGAACAATTTGTTTTATTTAAAAAAAAATATTTTAGTGTTGAAATTAAAAAAAATGTTTTGGAACCGGGAAACTGGGATTGTTTTGAGGGGGGGTAAGGCAGTTTTAAAAAAAAAATTGGTTAGAAAATTAATAAATTGGAAAATATTAAAAATAATTTTAAACAATTGGAAATTAATTATCGGATGGTTATTTTTTTTTGTTTTGGAGGGTTATTAAATTTGGTCAATAATAAAATTAGTCTACTGGGAAAATTATAATGTCAATAATTAAAATTGTTTGGTGTGGTTTTTATTTTTATTTTCATATTTTTTTTGTTTTTTTTTTCAATAATATATTTAATAATCAATTATCGTAATTAATAAATAATAATATTAATTAATTTCGTATTTTATTTTGATTATATTATATGTGGTATTGTAGTCGTATACAAATCGTCCCTAAAGGATTACGATTATGCTTGTTAATTTATTTGTGTTTAAATTATAATTATCCTTTAAAATTACTTTTAAAACCATTAATTAATTGGATTTTAATTATTAATATTTTGCAAAAATAGAAAAGGAAATTCAAATCTGTTTCTTGTTTTGTGATTTTCATTTTTTATTGCTTAATTATAAGAGTAAATATTTTCAGATTTAGTTCATATTTTTCTGTACGACTGGTAACTTTAATTTGTCTATTCTGTTTAATATTCTCATAACAAAACTTGTTGAGTATATCGATGTAGTTGATGATAGCTTTCATTTTATCTTAAGAATATTTGTTTGACTACTTTGAAAATTTTCGTTTAAGTATTTTATTAGACTTTGATAATAATTAATACTTTCGCGCAGTTAATTTATAAATTTTTACAAACCAAAAGAATGGGAAAAAATTAATTTTATAAAAATGGAAAAGCTGAAATTTCTCTTTTAACATAGATAAGGACTATATTAGGGAGGAGTAGAAAATATTCGACAAAATTCCTCGAATTTACGGAGTTAAACTACTAAAAGTATTTGTATTGGGTGGCCGAAATGTAGAGCGATCTCGAAACGGAGCGATAAAATGGGATTCGCGTAGTTTATTTCGATAAATAATAATCATTCGTGATTTGACCTCCAATTTTGTAAAAAGAGACCTTTCAAATTTTGCAATTTTATTTATAATTTGGGAAATATGAAAGCCGTGAATTTCTTTTGGTTTATTTTCTGTTTAAAAAAATTTAAGTATATTTTAAGAAAAATAGGAAGTTTGGCAAAACTGATTGTATTTGTAAGTGCATAATTTAAATTAAGACATAATACGAGGCGAGGCGCACGCCCTGTAAAATGCATATGGATTTTGGATTCAAATTTTGGTTTTCGTTTCATAGAAAGATTGCTGTCAAGTTTGGCACAAATATTTGGAAATTTCTATAACCTTTCCTTAAATTTTTAAATTTAATTATACAATTAATTAATTATATAATTAATAATTATTTTAATTTAAATATAATAATTACTATAGTTCTTACACTCAGACTCGCGGGTATCTTTGTTGCTTTAATCCATAAAATATGTATTTAATTTAAATGAATGTTTATAACTAAGTGTACAAACTTTTTAAAATGGTAAAATAGTGAAGGAACTGTGTATTTAAAAATCAAGTGAAATTGTATAAAAAGTAAATGTTGTAATATTCTAATATTCTAGAATTTATACACAAATATGACGATAATAATATGTAGGAGCATATTATTAATTTATTTTGTAATAAAATAGGATAAATGTAAGGCATCTGGACAACAAACATTAACCCGCTTACGTAATATGAGTACCACAGCTACAGCATACTGCTTGACCTGATGATGAATCAGTTTCTGCTATTTCTTTTGGTGGTAAATCAACATCTGGTTGTGCTTGTTGCATATGTTTTTGTATAAAATATGGTATTGCTTTTGGTTTCGGTTGTATTACTTGTTGCTGTGGCTGTTGTTTTGGTTGCTGATTTTGTTGCTGTTGATATGATTTTTGTTCCTTATTTTGTTGTATTGTTGGTGTACCAGTTCGATCATCCGATTCTGTTTTATTTGCTGGTGCTGGTGTAGCTGAATGACTGACTGGTGTTCTTATTCGTCCACCAGGAGATCTACAATGACTTGCTGTCCAATAGAAATTCATCGGAGAATATGGCTCTTCAGTTTTATATTTTATTTTTGATTTTATTTCAATTTTTTTTGTAACATTAAATTTGTATACACAATTATATTTTTTATTCATATTTTTGATTTTGAATTTGAAGTAAAATTCAAATAGGGAGTTCCAAAATAGCAAAATAAAATAAAAATTTTTATTTGTTAGTTTGCGAGCACTTTTTACAAGAAGCATTTTAAAAATATAATACTATTATGCCTAAAATACTAATTAACTAAATAAGCTTACTTCTAGGTCTAGGTTCGTTTTCTATGCAAGGTTATTACAAAAGGGTATACAAATTAGGAATAACATAGAAGGAATAAACTTTAGGATTTTTTTTTTCTGTCAAAAGTAATTTAAAAACTTAAAATTTTTCATTTTTAGTTGGAATCAGAATATTATTTGGGACTTACACAATAAGGCGTTCACATTCAGCACAAATATTTTGACCAGATGGTAAACCACCAGTATTTTGGACTTTTGGTTGACCAACTGGAGCTGTAACATGTCTTACGGGTCCACCTGATTGTTGATGATGTTGTTGTTGTTGTTGATGTTGGTGATCACTTGATTGATGGTGATGGTGTTGTTGTTGTTGTTGGTGATGGTGTTCGGATGCATAATTATTATAGTGGGCTAAGGGTTATTGTGAATATTTTTGTTTAGTTTTTAGTTATGATGGAAAAATATAAAGTTTATTTTTGTATAACAGTATTACTTTATATTGTTATATTAAGGTTTTCTTCTGTTTTATTGTAAGATATTTTTGGAATTTGAAAAGCTCTTTGTTTTTATGTTATTTTTATTTATTCTGATATATTTAGATATTTGGAATAAAGCTTTTTTACATGACAATGAAACTAACAGGTTTGCTGTATAATATTTTTTGAAATTCTTACTATGAAAATGTATGGTGTTTTGATGGAATGATAAACCTTGACCTTGAGACAAGGTTTTTTTAAATATATTGTGTTTATACTTCATTACATATATATTACATACAGTAGTAAAAACAGGTACCTGTACTGATTAATGATAGGTGCTTTCAAATCAAAGGCCATACTATTTTTCCTTTGGTATTTTAGAGTGTAGGAATTTAAAGCGTCACAACGCGTATTATAATAAAAGTTGTGTCGTAAATTTAATGGTTATTTTATCATTAATTAAGAATAAAATACCCAAAATTAAAAATATTAATAGAATTATGGGGGAAATTTTAATTAAGATTTAATTTTTGTTTTTGAGAATTTTATTGAAATAGTTGGCATGTCAGCTATAACATCTATATTAAAAAGGGATTAATGTACAAATTATATATGTATATGGGAACACATACAGTAAATGGGGAAAATATAATTTTTCTAATATCTACACATACATTAATACATAATTATATTTTTGTTTATATAAATTTTACTAATTCTTATACGCTAATTAAAATCGTTTACTTTTTCGAATACATTCAAAAAAATTTATATTATAAAATTTTAGTTGTTTAATTTAAAAAATTTACCATTAATTTAATTTTTACTATAGAAATATTGTTTTGTTGTATACTTATATTTTTTATGAAATTATTTTATATGAATTATTACCTAATAAATTAAAACCAACAGATTTTGATTTTATCATAGCAACATTTTTTATCTAGATTTTTTAAAGAACTTTTTCTTCAATTTATTCCTAATATAACATTAATAGTTATGATGTTGGACAATCAAGATGGCATTTGTTATGAAGAAGTCAGTCAGTTTAAAAATTTTAATTTAATTATAGGGGTAAATTATTACTAGAACGCAAAATATTCTAAGTCAATCTAAAAATAAATTGAATGCATAATTTTTTCTTAAATAACAACCTTGCAAAATAAAATGTATATTAATTTTAAGAGACAGGCTTCTTCATTTGCAATAATTTCTTGCTAAGAATTTTCTATAGTGTTAAACCGTTATTTCGGGAAAAACATCAAGTTATTAAACGATAAAAATATAATACAGGTTTAAAAAAATTGCATATTTCTAGGTAAATTATTTATTTTGATTCTGTTAAAGGATTATTAAGCTTTCAGCTTGTGGTAAAATAATGTAAAATTATCAAAAAAAAAAAATGTTGCTTAGTAAAATCATTGTTAATTTTAGTTTTTCACACTATTCAACTTTAATTTAATAACAATTTATATTTTATCCTTTTCTAACAAATATTTTTCGTAAATTTTTATTGAAGATTTTGTCTACTTAGAGTTTTATAAATATTTTATTCAGAAATTTAAGCATTTTATCTATTATTAGAACAATAATTGTAAAATATTATATATATATGTAAGCCAATAATCGTAAAATTCAATGAAAGTTAACATTAGTGGAGATTAATACACAGAATGTAGCGTAATTTTAATTATGTTGCACATTTTTTTTCCAACATTTGAAATTTTTCACAGAATTAATTGCACTCTTGCAATTAAAAACTTTTCAAAAGTCTTCAAATTAACTTTTATGTATAACATTTTATTAATTTTAAATAAATTGAGCCAACAGATATTAATGAATTTTAAAAATAAAAATTCATACATATTAAAATATTACTAAAAATTTATAGGCAAAATAAAAAAAATATTTCGGAAATTTTTAAGAGGATATTTTCTCATAATTTTCTTATTTCTTTTTTTCTTTATAATTACATTCAATAACTTCATATGAATTGCAAGTAATTGGCCCAATTATGGACGTTAGAAGGTAGTTAATATTAATAAAATTAGACAACAGATCTTTTTGGTAGAAAAAACATAGAGAAATAATGGAAAATTTCTATTTAAATTTAGCGAATTTTTACTTTTATTCTGGCAACAATGAATTTAGTTATTAATTTATGTATTACAGATTGCTTACTATATTACAGATAATAACATTTTAAGTATAGTATTACATTTAATAGCTAGAATTTTTCATTCATTCTATTGGACAGAATAAATAAGAACTATATAGATAAGTTATATTAATGAAAATTTAAATATAATATAAATGATTAGCAGAAGGCCTCTGATTTATCTTAAACAAATATTTGACAACTGTTCAAAATACAACTGTTCAATTGAATTCAAAATATTTCAAAAACTATTAAAAATATGCCAGGCAAATAAATTTTCTGTTCATAAACTTTCAGTTATTAATGAGAAAATATATTCATAATTAATTAAGTCGCCTGTACGATTACATGAATTAATTGAAATATTATAATTAATTATTTAATAACAAATTACATTATTGAATTAATTAATCTGAAAATTCGATTTAAAATTATATTAAAGAAAACATTACAGGCGTTATAACAAAAAAATATATTTTTGTTTTGAATAAAAATATTTTTATAAATTTTTTTATAAATTTGATAATTTGCCAGGGAAAATGTTATTATGGTAATAATTTTCTACTTTAAATATATACATACATACACAAAATTTAATAACGTCCTTAAAAATTTAATTGAGTAATTGAAAAAGAAAAGAATTAAAATTAGACTAAAATATGTTGAATAATTTAGTAATTAACTTTGAAATACATTCATAATAAAAAAATTTCAATAAAAAAATTAAATTTCAATAGTTTTATTACGTAATTTATTTATTATTTTAAAGAAGCACGCCAGCAATTAAAAATTGCCTTCGCGACAAGAATAATTATGAAGCTTATGCAACTTCAACTAATTAGTAAAGGTGCGCCAGCATTAAAAAGTAAAATTGATAATAACATCGGAATGTTCATTGTTTTTTTTTCACCATTTTGTATAAATAATAATTTTATTTCCAATTCTTTATTTTAAGTTTTAACAAAAACAATGTTTCTTGGTATTTTTAAAAATTTGCTTGGAAAATATGACTTAAAGTGCACCTTATGTATTCAATATACGAGTACTTGAAATAATTTTCTTAAATACTTGAAATATTTCTATTAGAAACTTTTTTATAATATAATTAATCATTTAGGGGCATTTAATTATAATACAATTTTTTAATGTGAATGGAATTGATTTTCATTGGAATTGAAAATTGTGTAACACAGCATTACTACTACACGGTTAACATAAAATGACTTCTACCTTTTAACATGTGACATAAGGTTTCCAAAAATTTTCTTAATGGATTCTTGTAAAAAAATATTTTTTTGCTCCTATTTCGTCTGTATTATGAAGGCCAAAATTATAACAAAATAATTTATTTGTTTTTTGTAAAACAGAAGCAATAATTAAGAGAAATCAATTTAAAATTCTTTATATAATTTCCAATATTAATATCCTTTTTAAAAATGTAAAGGATATAAAATTTTCCTTTTGATATTTTGCAATATATTCAATAAAATATATAATTTCCATGTTTCGTAGATTTATTTCATGATAACACACAAATATGTACAAAAAAAAATTTTACATTTTGTAGATGCATGCACATACACACACACAAGTGGTGAAATAATATTCATATATTTTCATATTTAATTCAATTTTCTTCTTCAACTATGGTTAAATTTTTTCATGAAATTTTATTATTTTTTTTGCAAAAGGACTTTTTGATTAAATTTTTCTCAATTTGTAACTTTTTTTTCATTCAATTATTTGATCTTCTTGAAAAATGCTTAAATTTCCATTTAAAATTTTTAACATATAAGCTAAACAATAATAATCAGTAAATTCTAGTTTACCTGGTTCACGTGGTTCACTTTGCTCTTCATTTAGGAATTTCAATACCTCTGAATTGGTTGGATTGTATTCCTTTTCATGTTTTTTGAAATTAACCCTAAAATATTTAATTAGAAAAATATAAAATAATTAAATAATAAATAATTGTAAAATAAAATTAAAATAATAAATAAATAAATTTCAAAAGGAAAATTTATTCATAAGAATTGTTAATTTTGAATTCAGTTTTTTGCAGCTGATTGAATATTTTTGGTGACAATTTTATATTTTAATAAAAATTTTTAAAGAAGATGTGATTTTTTTCGTTTTTTATATTTAAATATTTGAATTTTATTCCTTGGTCTAAAGGAAGAATATGTTTTAAAAAACAATTCAATATTTTTCTAAAATTTATAATTTATTAAAAATAAAAATTATCAAATCCTATGAATTTTATGAGAGTTTCCACTTTTTAGCATTTTTTTTTCTTAGTAATAAATTTAATATTACTAAGAAAATTCGAGCAAGTAAGAATTTTTTAACTTGTAATAGGTTAGAGAAATAAGCGGTTTATTCATAGCCAACATAATATAATGTTACACGAAAATTTCACAAAATAGAAGTTAATTCTTCATTTTCATGCACACCACAAAACTAACAATTACTGGAGATCATCATAGTATCAACACAAGAAACAGGCAACTCCAACCACTGTTAATTTTCTTTAATATTCTAAAATAATTTTCATTTGAATTATATTTATCTCTTTAGTATATGTACAATATATTTTTTGTCTTCAATATAAAAACTACAATTAAAATTTACAAAAATTTGGGGTAGTAAATCAAAATTCAATGACCCCCAGTTAAATTTATATACGCTTTGGAATTTAGGTTTTTCCTTTTTTTTCATTTCTAATTGAAAAAATTTTTTTCTGAATAAAATTAAATTAAATTTTAAAGTTTTAATTAGATAAAAGCACTTGAGTCTACATAACATATATTCTTCGTTATAAATGGCTGTGTAGCCAAAAACACAAGCGGTTAAACAATTTTATTCCATTATTATTGTTATACATATTATAGTCCAAATCTATATAATGGCCACACTATTAATATATTTCTCTCTTTATTATTGTACATATAGATATAAGAAACAATTTAGAGACTAATTTCCATGGGTTTTCCGTTTAGAATTTTTATATTCAATGGGAATTATTGTATAAAAAGTTTGCATACTAAGAGTGCAACCACCGGTGAAAAAATTCCAAAAAAAAAAAAATATTTTCAACTTCTAAAATAACGTTGTTCCTATACTATCCTAAAGTTTTAACCTCTTTTTTTTCGGAGAAAAAAAAAAGTTTTGTGATCAACATTTTTTATACATACTCTTATATTTTTAAATATTTTGACATGAAAACGCAAAAGTTTTGCAATTAAATATTGTACGGTATGGTCCCGAAATGGCATACAAAAATATAAAAATTAGAAGTTTTGTGGAATGAAAATAAAAAAAGAAAGTTAATTTAAAAAAATTAAATATGCAATGAACAATATAGGCCACAATTTATTTACATTTTAAAAAGCCATCATGTAAATTTTAAAACTAGCTTATATGAACTAAACTAAACTTAAATTGAAGCGTAACACAGAGAATGATATTCAGATTTCGAAAAGAGAATTCACATGAAATCGTCTACATAAATGTGTATCCTAATGGGAAAATTAAATAAAAAAATTTAAAAATTTCAACTCTGCTTGTTTAAGGGGCACTTTAGTAGGCCGGGCCTGAAAAGTGATACTTGCTGATTCTGTGGGTAATGATGATCTTGCCTATTGGAGAAAGCAAATACTTTGCTCTCACAGCAGCGGAGTGTCTGTCTTCCGGGTCTCACAAGTTGCTTGAGTTCACCAAGAGAGTAAGTCTCGAAAGTATGTTATAGGGCATGTTCTGCACTTAGGGAAGGGGGATAGAGCTTTATACAATGATCTATCGCGGTGCACTACCACCCCGATTATAAAAATCTAAAATCTATTACAATCTAATTGAGTCTCCTAAAATAATTGAATTGAATTTTAATTATTCTGATTGAAAATATAATTTTTATTTAAATTCTAAATAATTTTAATTTTTCATTAAAATACTTAATTAAAAATAGATAAATATCTACCAGGAAATTTTAATATTTTTGAAAGGATACTTTTAATTGTTCATTTCACATATAAAATCTTGCTTTGGAAAAAAAAAAATTATGAAAACTTTTATAAAATTGTTTTTTTTTTTTTTTTTTGTATCCAAAGCTATCCACACAAATCTTAAAGAAAATTTCAAGGATTTTCAAGAAATTTCGAAATTTATTATATTATTTCGAAAATCAATAATAATCAAACGAATTCGAAATAGTCATGCATTTGTAACACAGCACAGTGCAATAAAAAAAATTTGCAACACTAAAAATTAGTGTGCACAAAAAAAAACCATAAAGCCTACCAATTCAATAATTACTCGGATATTTTTAAATTTTATCAATTTTCGTAATCTTTTATCGTAATTTTTCCATATGAAATAAAGTTTCCGATTCAAATAAACAATTTAAAAATTTAAAAGAAAAAAATAATTATTTTAAAATTTTTTCTAAAATTATAAAAATAATTTAAAGAATTTTCCAAAACGTTTTATTGTGTTGGCAACATGGTATAGGAGAACAGCTCATGAATTATAACTATGTAACCATAATATAATGAATTTTCTCCATAGTGATAATAACCAAAGAAAAGAAGAATTCAAACAGTAAAAATCAAATGGAAATAGAGAAAAAAAAAACCAAACTAAACTAAATCAAACACCAAGAAGGTAAAATAGAAATCTCTTAAAAGTACTGGAGAAAATAAAGAAACGCTACACGTTTACTCAAAAGTAAAACACTTATTTTGCCTGTATTTTTTAACAAAATAATTTTATCACGTCTGGGCTTCATCGTACATACTTACATATTACAATAACGTTTATGTATATCCTTTAAATTTAATTCATTTTTATTTAGAAAAAGGCGCTTATAGTAACAACAAACAAAATAACAAGAAAAAAATAATAATCATAATATAATACTTCACTTGTAAAAAATATCCTAGGTAACGAAGAGGTGAATTAAATGAAACCGGGAAACAATAAAGGAAATGAAGAAAAATTCAAGTAAAATATAAAATCTTGTATTCGTTCTCAGGTTGGTATTGTCTTCGTTCTCTATATTTGAATGTGGTGGTGTTTATTTTTGTTTATTCGTTCATTGCATGGTAATTACATTTTTAACTTCTAGGATTTTTTTTCATCTTTCCTTTTTCCATCCTTTCTTTTAATTTTTTATTTTTTTTTTGAAGTGTATATGAAGGAAAGTAGCTAGCTATTTCGTTTCCTATATATTTATATTATTTTTGGTTTTGTTTATTATTTTTACATTTTGTAAGAAGACGTAAGAAGCTTTTTCCTATTAGTTAAATGAAAATTAAGTGGGAAAACGCGAAGCAAAAGAGTAGAAGAATACGCTTATTTTTTCTCTTTCAAAACATTTTCTTATTTTTAAAACTTAATAGAAATGAAAAATAATAAAAATAAAGAAAAAAATTGAAAAATACATTAGAGGGAGCAGGGGGCGAAGAGATTTTAAAGTTGAAATGAAACGTTGAATTAAAATGGTAATCACTTGCTTAATATTGTCGTTTTCTTTGGAAAGTAGTTCTGTATGAATAAGAAATTTTTACAGTGTATACCGGGCATTTTGCTCACTATTTAATGTTAATATTACAATTAATTTGTTTTAGTAAAGAATATTTCACATTCGAAAAATTGTAAATTGCAAATTGAACAAGATTGATGAACACCATCAACATTCTGGACTCAAATTTTATACATTTACTGCGTTTCCATATTTAATAGAATGCTATTATTTCAAACAACTCCGGAGTAGTTGGGAGAAATTCGAAAATGGAAAGTTGTTTTGTATGAAAATTCTGATACTGGAGTAAAAAATGCTATGAATATTGCGGATTGCCGAATGAATGCTTCGAACTAATCATATCCCTCTAAAACATTTCTGTATATACTATATGATGCAGTTGGGAGTGTGAGGTTATTAGTTAAGAATTGTAAAGCGAATTTGTTATTAGAACGCATACGTATAAGGGTATGGAAATTGACTCGAATTTATCGCTCATTTAATTCTCATTTTTATTTATTAACAGCCCTCTTTCGAGTACACCTTATATCAAATTAAACATTTATCCACTTTATATTTTTATTTTTTTTTCATATTATTTTTTTAATAGCAAACTTAATTGTTTATTACTATAGAAATTAAATTTCTGTTAATTATGCAATAACATGTCTTGAATACAAAAATATTATATCTAATGGAAAATTCCTGGAAGCGCTGGAAAATAGATTACCTTACAATTTTTCTTAATTTTTATTTTTTTTTCAAATTTAATTAAGAAAATTTTCGGTATATTAACTTGCCATCTTTTGGAGGATTTTTGGAATTTTTTTATGTCTAAACTGATGTTAATGATATGACCGCTTAGGTCTATGTATAAGACGTCGATCAATTTGTATTCAGATTAGTATCAAGGAATTATATCCAGTGGCAGTATTTTTAAAGAGTATGAAAAGCTTCTTTTATAAAAATTATTTGTTGTTTTTAAAACTAAACTAATATCCAAAACTAATGGGAATTAATTTATCCAATAATTTCCGGTACCATTTATTCATCTACTTACTAACCTAATTACATTCAGTATTAAAGAACACGTAGGTACGTGCTCTATTTCGTAATTTCATAAAATATAAGAAAAAATTTAGAATATCTTACATGCGCTTAAATTTTATTTAATCGAAAATTTTCAAAAATTTAAGTAAATAATATATAAAATGAAGAAACTAGCTATAGCAAACTAAAGCAAAATTACGACATTTATTATAAAAATTTATTTACTTATTTAATTTAATTATTTTGTATACCATCATGTCAAGATTAGGTTTAACATTTTTATGACCTTTTACTAGCTTATAAAATTTATAATTTCATATTTTTGTTGGACCATTTCGTACGTCCTAAGATTTTGAAAATAAATTTCATAATTTTTTAGATTAATTGAATTAAACATATTCATTTTCCCCATCTCTCAAGTTAATTTAGAATATTTCTAAACCATACATAACTAAACACTTTTGAGAGCATTAGAACAATTTCTGAACTAGTGTAGCATATACAATGTAAACTATGTAATAGTATAACACCTTAATACATTTTATATTAACAATCAAACTAGTACGATATCTAAGCAATCAATGTGTTTATAAGATTAATAAAATGTTCATGCTCGCGAATTTTCTGCCAGATATGTTTAATTAGATTTATAGAATTTAATTGAAAGTTATATTAAAATTTGTTAATATAAACTCATATAATAGTATGTACATAATATATAAAAATATACAAAGGCATTCATTTAAATTTGTTTATTTTCCAAAATGTCTAGAATGTTCGAATTTATATTCTGAATTGAATAGTAATTGGCAACTAAAAATGTGATTTATATATGAGAAAAATTTTACATTTACATATAAATATTGAAATGATTATTTTAGAAAGATAAAATTTTTAAAATATTTAAAGAATTTATCAATCAATCGTCACGTGTATACCAAATGTGGTCTTTCCTAGTATAAATATAAATAATTGTAAATTTCTCAATATGTACGCAGTAATATTTGTGTGGCCCTAAATTAACAGTTGAATAATAATATTTATTTTTTTTTGATTGAGCAAATTTATTAAAGTGATTTTGGATTTTTGATAAGAGGATGTTGATAACTTCATGCATACTTCAATAAATTGAGTACAATGCAATAATAATATTCAGCACATTGATTTTTATAATTTCATAATTTTCATAATTTTCATAATTTTCCAATTCGAAATTCAAAAGCAAACAACTTATTATGGCTGGGATTTATAGATCAATACCTTTTCAATGCAATAAATCAAAGTATCTTAATTTTTTTCTTTTTTGAATATGTTATTTGAGACGTTATCGCTTAAATTAAAAAATCTTAACAATCTAAATCATAACAAAATTTGGAAGTGTTTTATTCCAACCCAAAGAGAAATGTGTTTGTCAAATGCCCAACACAATTCCTATATAACATAAATGGTAATGAAAAATTCCCATGTAACATAGTACGCCCTGATATGTAGACAAATTTCTTTCTAGTTTAATAGTTTAAACATCATAAAATTTTCAAGTCTAATTTTAATTAAGTGTCTTACATGTTGTATAAAATATTTAAACATTTTCTCAAAATGAAAAATTGTTCTTAGAAATTTAAATTTTTTACAATAACAAGGAAATTTCACTTTGTGATCATTAAAAATTTTCAATTGTTTCTATAATTTGTCCATGAAAGTTCTTTTTTCTAGGTGTGTTAACTATAAGCTTACTAATGTCCTAAAAATTGGAAAGAAGTATTTAACAGACATTTTTATAATATTCTGTAACACTTTCATTTAACTAGACAATACACATTGCGGTCGGTTATGTGCTGATCACATCAGATTTTTTTTAGTTATTATATCAAAATCTTATCGAAATATAAATTGACTTAATTGGCAAGGATTCTAATTCAAAAAGTTCGGTATTCCACTTACATCCCACTCAAGTGTAGGTTATCAAAAAAAAAAAAATTGATATTTTTCAAGTGATAAGTGATACTAAAGTATCCAGACTTTGGGAATCAATAAAAATCGAATAAAAAATAGTAAAGAAATGCAGAAAATTTAAAAAAAATAATGGGATTATGATAAGCCAATTACTAAACGTGATAGTTACAATATTTGATTTTATTATTGTAAACACAAAATAGTTTTTGAATAATATTGGGGTCTCTGCAACAAAAATCACTATTTTTTAATTGATTTATTTTTCAGAATTAGCCTTACTCTTATTTAGTTATTTTACTTTAAATTATGCGATTTCGGAAGTCAAATAAATAATTTATGTCAAAATTTTTAATTTTTTCTGTAATTTTTAACTAGTCAAAAATTTGAACTGTATTGAAACGAACTTTGAATATGAAAATTCTTAATCTTAATTGAAATTTTATTAATTTTAAATTTCAATCTTAAAACAAATAGCATAAGGAAAATCTACGCCACATATGGAATAATTCCTTTTGAAAACTAGAGTGAAAACAATATTTTTATATTTTATACACTATATCTTTAATAAAGCCTTTTTGAAAATTCACTATTTTCGGAAATAATTTGAAAATTCAATAAATTATAATTGAATAGCTTTTTCCTTATACACTTAAAATACTTTAAAATTTAAAAGATCTACTCATTTCTTTGACCTATATTACGTACTCTGCATATATAAAATATGTGCATTTTCATATTAAAGAAAACTATTTCTTTTCCAAAGAAAAAAAAACACTTTGAACTGATATCCTTTCAAAACTTTCTAAAAATTTTTGAAAACCAATATTGTTTTTGTTATTTTTTTCCTTTTCAATTTTCTTTCATTCAAAAATTATACAATATCTTTCTATTTTATTTGAGTAACTATAAAATGTTACAATAAGAAAAGAAAAATTTCACTAAAATTCTGCTACTCGTATATAAGGAAAACATTAAGTTGCTAAAAAAAAATTTTTTTTTTAGGAAAATTAATTTATCTTACCCAAGTACACCACCAGCTAAAACTTCAGCTTGAGCTGTTAAAGTTTCAGCAATTGATTCTTCACTATAAATACCAACTGGGGTGTTATATTGTTTGTTGACAATGCTTTTAAGTTGACCATCGCTGCCATTAACCTAAAAATAAGAAATAATAAGAAAAAAATTGATAAATTTCGCACAAAAAAAAAGAGAATTAATCTACTACAGAGTATATAAAAATAATTGGCATTAGAAAGAGAAATTGAAAGCTTGTAAACGAGAAACAGAATATTTTTTTTACAAGAAAAGAGTTCATGATGCTCTTATATTTTATAACATCAGAATTTTTAAATTCATTTTTATTAAAATTGCTAAAAAAAGTAATATTTATTGAAATTAAACTTAATTTTTCTAATTGATACTTTGCAAATTCTCTAGCACTTGAATATTTTGAGTTTGGAAAAATGATTCATCCTAAATATATGCAATATATTTTTAAAATATTGTTAAATCTTTAAAAAAAATTTCAATTTCTTCATTAGATGAATTAAATTTTCTATAATTAATATTCAAGATTTCATTGAGTCGAAGAGTCATTTTAAGCACGAAAATTTATAGAATTTACTTCGTAATTCAATTACATTTAGAAAATTTGACGAATTCGAGGCCAGAGTCCCTATAATAACTATTATTCAATTATTGGTCATTCAAACTATACGATTTGTTCATTCATAGATTTAATATTTGTAGGCTTAGTCAATTTAAAAGAAATAATAATTGTGAATACTTACTGCACTGAATGGTCTTGCTGCGTTATTGTAGCCACAACCAATATGCTCAACTGGTTGAGGATGTTTGTGAGCAAGAGAAGTTCTCGTCACTGTTTGAACATTATTACCCAAATGACTTTGATGAGCTGGTAATTGACCAGTTGGTGTAACATGTGGACGCCATAATGATCCACCTCTACAAATACATTTTTGTATTTCATAATTTAATGAAAATTTTTAAAATTTTTAATATTTTTAATTTTTATTTTAATATTTTATATTCAAACCTTTGAATTGTCATTGAGAAATTGTTTCCAGATCTAACAACAATATCTTGAGCATCTTTGTGTCTAAGTGTAAAGACATCAACATCATTAATTTTGATAACTGCGTCGCCAGGATAAAGACCAGCTTGATGAGCTAAGCTACCTTCATTGACCTAAAATTAAAAATATTAATTTATTGATTAGAATTAAGTTCAGTAATTAGATTTTTTAAAATAATTTTTATTTCTTTTAAATTTTAAATTTTTTTTTTAAATTTTTAAAATTTTCAGCTTTTCAGTTTAATAACATTGGTTTTAGAACAATTTGATTAATAAAAAATTTTTAGATATGTTGGAAAATGAAACTATTTCTGAAATGTTTTCATGACATTTCTGTAACAGTGTAATTTACATTTTCTCTGTTATCTCTAACAGTTCAATTAAAATCACAGCTACCATTTATTGTTAATGTAACACACTGTGCTTTCGCTGCTTAATAGCTGTGACAGAGAAATTTTAAAAACTTTTTAAACTTTTTATATATGTACACCTCCCCTTAATTTTAGTTTTATCGATGCTCAATTCCTTTAACCACACTTATATATTATATAATAGCAATACACAATATACACAGAAATTCTTGTGTTTATAAAGACCTTAAACTAATTTCAGTTCACATTTCTTCAACTTTATTTTTTGTACCTATACGTATACATACGTACACATAGTAGCGGATGTATGTGTATATATATATATTTAAGTAAGATTCGTTGTCTTCCGTATACCATTAACTCAATTGGATAAAGTTTTTATTAAGTTTTTGTATCGTTTATTTTCTCTAAAAAAGGATATTAAACGTAACGAGTGCACTAAAATGACAGTGACCATAAGAAAATTACGGGTTAAAGAATAAAAAATTAAAATAGAAAACTTTATTACGAAACTTTTAACGAAATTTTCTTTTTTTTTAATATTATTTTGTCATCACAATGCAAGCATACATGCAACTACTCAATATGAAAAGTATATGGAGTTGAAGTGCATTTTTATGCTGTTTTTGTTTTATTAAAAAAATTTTTTTTGATTTTATAAAGAAATTAAATAAAAGTTATCGGAACAGATTTTCTTTAGAACAAAATAAAGTTTTTTTTTTCCAAAACTTTAAACGTTATAATTAATTTATAATAGTACAATAGTGTAATAAATGTAATGAGCAATTTTAATAATTGGCTTGAACTTTATATTGTATAGAAAGAATTATAATTGCCATCAAAATTACTTTTGCATTATAATTTATATTTAAATAAGTTGAAAATTATTTTTTATAAAGTTTAGTTCCTCTCTAAAAGTATTCAAATTTTTAAACGGATACACACAATATAAATTAACTCACTGTATAGCTCTAACATGCTAAGTTTTATGATGCAATTTGGTTGAAATATTCTAAATTCAGGAATACAAGTCGGCGTTTGTGATTGAAAATGTAAAAATTTTTAAACACAATTCTACATAAAATGTGCATGTATTCAGAATGCAAAATTGAGAAATTTCATACATGAAATTTATCACTCAATTAAATACTTTTCATTTAATTTCATTAACAATTTACTACTTTCAGGATGGATAATTCCTCAACTCATCAAAACCAAGTCTATACAAGTACTTATGCAACGCATGGAATGACATTATTTGATTATATTTCAGATATAAAAGGCTAGTTTCTTGTAAACATAATGATGAATAACTCAAAAATTAATTGAGCTAAGTACACCATAAATTATTTTCATAAATGACTTATAATAGGGACAGTCGGAACTCTAAAAAATTGGATGTGATCGAGGCAGTGGTTCGGGTAGCTGACCTACGACTTCAAAAGTTATATTCGGTTGTATTTATATGTGGTTTATTGAAACTAAGAAAATGAGACAAATTTCTTGTCTCCTTGTGGAAGTTGTCATACAACTTTAATAGTTATTTGGCTATTTTAGAAACTACTTAAGTTATTGATTAATACATACAATTCGAAAGTTATTTGGGTGTATATTATTTAAATTATACCGAAATTGCAGTGCTGAAATTTCGTATAAACGAATATGATAAATTGGCCAGTATTTCCAGTAAAAATATTTGAGATGATTTGCTTTCATGTAATAACTACATACTATATATATACATATATGCATAACATAGAACTATACATATGTATAAAAAACAGAGGGTCGTGTGAAACATTGCAGCAATTATAATACAATTCTTAAAATAATTCGTAAAAAGTTTACGTGGTCAACTTCATCTATTCCCGTTATAAATAAAATCAATCCTAATTAAAAATTCTTTAAATTAAATTTGATGGATTAACTTTTAATGATCCATTAAAATTGTTTAACGTGTTAATAACAAAAAAAATGTATGTATATAGCTAGTTTATTTCAATTTTCAAAAGTTTTAAAGAAATTAAATACACAAGTAATTAAGGATTCTTAGAAAAATTTACTGTTAAGAAAAATTTTATTTTAAATAAATAAACTCAATTAAACATCGCAAATAAAAAATAATAAACGATTGCATAAATTTTTTATTATCGACATTTAAAATTTTTGAAAATTAAACTCTTGAAGGCGTTTATTTCTCATTTTTGCGCTATGCAAATATTTAAATTGTCAAAATAAGTGTGAGCCGAAACCTTTATAATATTATCAAGGATATTATCTTAATTTCAATTCTAATCATTTATTAATTCAATATACCATATTAATATTAAAATTTAGAAAGGGTGTGGGATCTTGTAAATAATAGTAATTTTAACATTAAAAGCAAGAGTCTTTAAAACTTGAATATTAAATTCTTAAATAAGAAAATCTTCATTTTGTTTTTATTGTAATAGTAATTAAATCTGTAAAATTTACTATAGTTATATAATAAATAATAATTACTTTTAAAATATTTTAAAATCTTGAATTACCTATTCACAATAATCTTGTAGAAAATTTTCTATTTATTAAAATTGTATGTGTAAGTGTAGAGTATTTATTTTTAGGGGAAAAATATTATTAAGATCTGATATAAATTTAAAATAATAATTTAACCGTTTTATGTTCTTGTTAACATTTTATATAGTAAACTGCGAAAGTTTTATATAGCTAAAAAGTTTAAGGTTTCCCGTCTGTCTAAAAATATCATAAAAGATATTCATATTTTTAATTTTGAATGAAAATGGTTATTTATGGTAATCGCAATAAGGGTTTTAATGTAAAAGCGCAAATTAGTCTAACATCGCGATATTAGAGTATTTTTGCAAATTTATTGCAGTTATTGTTGTTGTTTCACGTATAAAAAGATATGCTCCTGTTATATTTTGCTAGACTAAATAAAATCGTTCTTACTCTATTCCAGTAGTTGGCAAAATGCGGCCCATTCAACTCCTCATGTAGCCCATCATATTGCTTGCAAAAACAAAATATATTTGATTGCGATATTTTTCAAAAAAATTTTGAAAATTCAATCATAGATAATAGATGTAGATGAAATTCCATACAAATTTATTATTTGTCAAAACAAAACAATGAATAAAGTCAGTTGAAAATATCATTTCTTCTTGTAAGTAGATAATGTTAGAAACTCGAGTGGCCCATGCTAATATTCACATATTTGCCCATACCTACAAAAATTTGCCGACGGCTGCTTCATACTATAGATGTTAAATTTAAATATTCGCTAGATAGTGTATATTTTCATTTATTATGAAAATTCCTTTAATAGTTAGAAAAGAACCATACAACATTTTCCGTTTTTTTTTAACAAAACTGACTTTATTCTAATTTACTTTTCTAATTCTAATTTCTTAGTTACCGAGAAATAAAGTAATTTAAAACCTATACCTAAATAAAAAAAATTCTAAATTTAATGTGTATGGAAATGTATACACATACAGTATTAATATTTATATTATATGTGTATATATATATAATTTTATTTTAATTTTTCTTGTTTAAAATAAATACACAAGAGTTTTATTTGAATTTTATTTTATTTAAAGTTTTCTTTATTTATAATAAGTTCACAAAAGTTTCACAAGCTTCTTTTTATTAATTTATAATGTTTCATTCAAATTCTACAAATAAGTTTAATTTATTACTTTATTGATTTGTAACTAATTAATTTATTTCACATAAATTTTATAAGTTACTTAACAAATTCTACAAGTTAACTTTCTTAAGTTTTAACACGAACTGACTTCTTATCATTACTTTTACTTTTTTATTTTTTTATTATTTTATAAAAGAACAAACGTTTTACAACAACAATTATTACGTTTGCCATTGACCTACTTATTATTACGAAATCTGAAAATTAAAACTTAATTCATAATTTTTTATTGGTGTTTCAAATTCATTAACCTTTGTGCATACGTTCTAATGTTTCAAGCAAAAAATAAGTTCATTTGGCTTTTCGCTTGAAACATGAAACTTTCATATAAAAAAAACAAAAGGAAATAATGAATGCAAATTTTAATTTTGATAAAAAGAATAACGTTAAATTAAAAGGTAATGAAATTTAATTAAAAATGAAATTACGAAATTATTGAAAGGGTGAAATATTTGTAAGTTTCCATTAGATTGATACGCGTGTTGTGTTGCTAACATAACACCTCCGCCATTAAGATTCGACTCCTGGCGAATCTCGCCCGGTTGTATTACGATTTTTGGTGAAATTAATTTAAACTTTACAAAAACGAAAAGGCAAATAATGAATAACACTGTAATTATGATTAAATCTAATTTTAAATTCGTGTACCAGCTTTTGTGATGATTGAATTTCAATTCCTCGATGTGCTTTGTATTATTTATTTGTGTGTAATACAAATCATCTACATGAAACTGATTTGAAATTTTTGCTACAGTTATATTGCGATTTACGTATGGTGAAATTCTATGATGATATTCTTCTTCGGAATTTTCTAGTTGGAAAGTTCCAAGAGAAATTTTGCAATTGGTAAATTTTATTAAGTTATTTGCTCGTATTATTATATTACTTTGCTGGCCACAATTATTATAAAGAGTAGTTTCTTTTAGATTTTTTGTTATAATAATACTTCTGGATATTGTCATTAGATTTGTGGTTAATAAATTTGAAACACATTCATCCTCAATTGGGATGAGGTTTTTTTTCT